TGTTTACAACTGCCAGAGGGCAGAAAGGTGGGAAATTTACCCTCCCATTACTTTAAAAAAAAAAAAAGCCAATGTTAAAACAAAAGGGACAACAAGGATTCGTTCATTTGTTCAGCAAAAGTTTACCAACTCCTACTGTGAGTCGGGCATTGTTCTCAGTACAGTTGGTAGATCACTCTTTCATGGCTGCCTCTAAAAATCTGCATCCCACAGTCACCATCACCGTATTCCTCCTAGTGTCGAATGTACATCACGTGCCTGGCAATGTCTTAGAAACTTAGGCTAAAAAATTACATGCAGTAGGGGCACCTGGGTGGCTCAGTCGGTTAAGCGTCCGACTTCAGCTCAGATCACGATCTCGCGGTCCGTGAGTTCGAGCCCCGCGTCGGGCTCTGTGCTGACGGCTCAGCGCCTGGAGCCTGCTTCGGATTCTGTGTCTCCCTCTCCCACTGACCCTCCCCTGCTCACACTCTGTGTGTGTGTGTCTCTCTCTCTCAAAAATAAATAAACATTAAAAAAAAATTTTTTTTTAAATTACACACAATCAACACAGGGGATTACTATGTTAACCAATAGGTATTATTCAGTCTCGCTGCTTGTTTTCTTGCTTTTGACATTTGGGCCAGTCCATTTCTTATTAGCACCAAAGTAAAGAAATGATGATGACAGAGAGGACGCTGAGAGATAAGAAAAGTAGGTTCTGTCACTTAGTCACTTGTTAGCAGCAGAGAGGAGAATCATCATGAGGAAAGCTAAAATCTCCAACGGGTTTATTTATACTTTGCATTAATGAGAGAGCAAATAAAAATCTGAAGTGACACTTCACTAACTTGTCACTTCCCTCTACTGAGTAACAAAAACAAACAAAAAAAAAACCCCATTCAAATGTAAGAAATTCTTGCTTGGCCATTTCTCCCATGACCTGTCACAGTGTCAACAAATCAGGGCAATCTATTTAACCCTCTTCACGTTACCTTTTGTAACAAAGTCTTGAGTAAAGCACTTTGGTTATTGTTAGAAACATAAATCTCTGTTTAGACTCTGATGTGGCAGACAAGAGTTAAAACCTGCTTCAGTGCTTTCCCTGAAATACGTAGATATCCTTCAATGTATATAACAGGACTTAGTGTCTTGCACACAATAGCTGTTCAATAAAAAAAATTAAAAACTGATTTAAAGGGAGGGGCACCTGGGTGGCTCAGTCTGTTGAGCGTCCGACTCTGGATTTTGGCTCAGGTCATGATCCCAGGGTCGTGGGATCCAGCTCTGTGTCAGGTTCTGACTGATTAAAGGGGAATAGTATGGGGGGGGGGCGGTGGGGGGGAGCACCTGACTGGCCCAGTCAGTAGAGCACCCAACTCTTGATCTCAGGGTCCTTAGTTCGAGCCCCATTTCTGGCGTGGAGTTTAACTTAAAAAAAAAAAATTTTTTTTTTAATAACAAAAATAAAAGGGGCTAATATGAAGAGTTGTACAGAAACAATTTAATTATACCCTAACCACTTTAAAGCAGCCTTTATACTTTGTGACGACCTTCTGATACAAAAATAAAAAGCCTCAATTTAAATACAAACGATCCAATAAAGTTATTACAAAGTACGGGTCTGAGTTCATTTTTACAGTGGTATGAGAACTTCCTGAACATTGCATGATTTCTCAAGGTTTCCTGGAATATGAAAGTAAGGAAGAGAGAGAAAGGTTTCACTCCACCGAAAAGGAGGACATGTGTGGAGACCAGTCCTCGAGTGTAAAGGACCCATTAGAAACCCGTGGGTTTTAAAGGCCTGTGCGGATCTTGACTAAAGTCTTAAAATGTGTGAGAAACGTGGTGGTATTTGTGAAGGTCTGTGAAAGCTGCAACCACCTGTTACAAATAACTCACGGCCACCCAAACCATAGGGCCGCCTCCCCCCACCTAGAGACATAATTCTGACAATTTAGGCTTCTGCGCCCCATCGTTATCTTTTTTTTTTTTTTTTTTTTTTTTTTTTGACAGAGTGGGAGTGAACGGGGGAGGGTCATAGAGATGGAGACACAGAATCCGAAGCGGGCTCCAGGCTCGGAGCGGTCAGCACAGAGCCCGATGCGGGGCTCGAACTCACGGACCGTGAGATCATGACCTGAGCCGAAGGCGGATCCTCAACCGACTGAGCCACCCGGGCGCCCCAACCCCGTCGTTATCTTATTACCCGCGTGCCTGAGTCCAAGCCACCATTCAAGGAAAACCCTCAATGCCTGCTCTGTGCCCGACTGCTGGACACTGCCCATCCCTGTACTTCACCCAGTCTCCTACCACTGAAGGACTGGAGGGTTCTTTTTCAGAATCCTTCATTATTCCAAAGTGTTTCTTAAATCTATACTAATAAAATAAAGCAACTGAAAGACATTTTGTTGCCCTTATACTCCTGGGCATTTCACCTTAAAACTCCAATAATTCACTTCTCTTATTAGTGCAAATAACGTGTTGATTCTTTCCCCTCTATTAAACTCTCAGCCACTCAAGGACAAAGCCCCCCCACACACACACACTCGAGTGGAATGGTTTTTGGGGGTAACTCTTCGCCGACATATACGTGCACGTATGAAACGGTAAGTGATGCGTTAAATTTCAAGTAGTACACATATACTCCCTAACGACCTTTTCCAAGTACTTCTACTATAGAAAATTGCAAGCATGTACAGTAGGAAGAGTATCCTGGGTCCTTTGATGCTGATGGCCCAGCTTCAACAGTTACCAGCACCCCCCCCCCCCCACTCGTGCTTCATCAACATCCCTATCCACCACCCCTCCAATTTACTTGGGAAATCAAGGCTCCGTATCATACATATTCCAGTTCCTATTTGTTTTCGGCAAAATTGTCTTTCCCACCCCTCTGCCCTCTAAAGAGCAATGCAGGCGATTGGGGCCAATCTACCACTTTCTTCCTATTAACTACCTCCTCCTTCCTGATCACCTCTTAGGACATTCACTCACATCACTGAAATGGCCACACTGTGTTCAGTCCCTTTTACCCAACCTGTCTCGCCTAAAAATAGATTGCATTTTCCCCTCCCTAACCCCTTTCTCTTGTGTGAACCAGCGCAAAAAGAAATCGTGCCAGGATTTCTATTATCTGGATAAAATTTACTTCTGATTTGTTTCCCCCCACCCCAGATAAGCTTAAAAAGAGCCAAAAGGAGTGGACAAGGAGTGGAAGAGGAAAGAAACACCGCACTTAAAAGGATAGATTTTTGCCTCAGTAGGGATGTTGCCAATGCCTAAAACCATCGGTTCCTTTATTTTTAAAATGAGTGTTTGTAAACATCGGCCGAAATTTTGAGTCCGTTTAGACAGAGGATGTTTATCAAGTGAATCACTCTAATTGAAGGGAGCTATTGCCTTCAGGATTTTGCTATCAGTAACAGTAGCTGCTTCTGAGCCGGAGAAATGGTTATGTAAAAACAATTAAAGCCAAAAAAAAAAAAAAAAAAATTAAGGGAGGATGCGCTCCGTTTCTATAGCTGCTCCAACCTTGTTTTACTTTGATACGAGATTTCTTGGCCTCGGCTCAGAGCAACCACCACCCCACACTTTCTCCTCCACACCCTTTACAAATGGAATTCGGAAAGGAGGCCCTTTGGAGTTCACCATGGGGAAAGGTCTCCTCTTGAGAACATTTCTGGGCGATGATTGAGATTTCATCCACCTCTCCTCCTCCCCCCCCCGCCCCCCCTCTCCCGTACTGCCCATCCCCTGCCCGGCCACTTCCCCAGGAATCCAGAGAAAGGCGGAGAAACCAGCTCCATCCCACCGGCCACAGCCTCTGCTCCCCGGGCACGGCCTGCGCGCTGCCTCGGCGTCCCCAGTTCGCCCCGCTCCGGGGACGCCGTTTCCAGGCACCTCGCCGCCTGTTTACCCATCGGCAGCCCCCGCTGGAGGATCTCGGAGGGCGCCCCTCGCCGCCAACCTTCCCCATGTTACACTGTTTCCCCTGAGCAGTCAAAGAGCGGTTTCCCCCGCGAACGCCTCTTCCTGAAGGTGGGCACACATCTCCCCCCCAACTACTTTCCCCTCCAGGCCAAACGCCGCAGTCCCCCGCGGCAAACCCAGGACCTGAGCTGCTCCTTGAGAACTACGAGCGCGCCCCGCGCCGCCACAGGTCAAAAGTCCTCGCCCCGAGAGGGAAGACACACCACTTCTCGCCCGTGTACCCCAAAACCCAAGACCTGGGACCCGGCCGGGCCGAGGCCGCCCCGCCCCCGAGAGGAGCGCCAGATCCGCCCGCACTTCCACTGGGGGAACAGCCCTAGGGACTCGCGGCTGGGGCGCCCGAACGCATCACGCAGCCCCGAAAATCCGACGGCCTCCACGCCCCCTCGAAGCCGGTCGGTCGCGCATCGGTTACTCGACGCGAGGGATTAAGGCTGCTTTTTCCACACACCACTCTGAGCTCGGGGCGCGGGGGACAGGGAGGCCGGCCCGCGCCCCTCGACCAGACCGCCGCGGGGACCTGGATCCGCACCCCGTTCCCAGCACCGGGGCGAGGCGTTGGGGAGGAGGCACAGGTTCGTGCTCCCTTCCCGGGCCGCTGGGGGGACCCAGATCCGCACCCCTTCTCAGGCCGCTGGAGAGCTGGGGGACCCAGATTCGCACCCCCTGCTCAGGCGGCCTGGGGTCTCAGATCCGCGCCCCCTCCTCAGGCTGCTGGAGGGGGGAGGGTACCCGCACCCCCGGCCTAGGCCGCCGGGGAGACCCGGATCCGTGCCCCCTTCTCAGGCGGCCGAGGACCCACACCAGCTCCCCTCGCCTGGGAAGGGCGAATCTGGCTCGCACCTCCGGCTCGGGCCAAGGCCGACGAGGGGCACCGAGCCCCGCGTCTGCTCCCGAGGCCGCGGGGACCCTGACCAGCGCGCCATCGCCTTCACCAAGGCAGCTCGGCCCGCGCCCCCTGCCCAGGCGCGCCAGGCACCTCCCCACCCCCCCACCCCCCCGCAGCCCGGCGGGCCCCGTCCCTCACTCACCCAGAGCTCGATGCCCCAGCTCATGGTGCAGGCAGGGGGCGGGAAGGGGCGCGCCGCGCGGCGGGCGCGGCTCTCCGGTCCCCCTCCCCGGCGATCCCTTCGCCCCTTGAGATCCCCGCGATCGAGGAAAGCCCGGTGCGCGCGCGGCCGCCGCCTCCTCTGGCTCGCCGCTCCTCGCCTTGGGTCTCCTCGGCAGCTCCTCCTCCCCGAAGCTCCTCAGCAAAATGGCCCGAGGAAGCAGCCGCCGCTGCCGCCGCAGCGCCCGCCCGCCCAACACCCGGAGACCCAGAGGAGGGGGAAGCGAGGGAGGGGCTGCGGGCTGGGGGCGGGGCTACGCCGGGGGAGGGGCCGGCCTGACA